GCTGAAGCAAAAATGTGTGTCGGAATGGGGTTCTGTGCACAATTTCAAGTTAGAACGTCTCTTAGCATCTTCCGTGCTGAAGCAAAAATGTGTGTCGGAATGGGGTTCTGTGCACATTTTCAAGTTAGCACGTCTCTTAGCATCTTCCGTGCTGAAGCAAAAATGTGTGTCGGAATGGGGTATTCTGTGCCATTTTCATTGTAGCACGTCTCTTATCATGCTTCCGTGCTGAAGCAAAATGTGTGTCGGAATGGGGGTTTGTCACATTTTCAAGTTTAGGCACTGCTCTTATCATCTTCCGTGCGGAAGCAAAAATGTGTGTCGGAATGGGGTCTGTGCACATTTTCAAGTTAACACGTCTCTTAGTATCTTCCGTGCTGAAGCAAAAATGTGTGTCGGAATGGGGTTCTGTGCACATTTTCAAGTTAGCACGTCTCTTAGCATCTTCCGTGCTGAAGCAAAAATGTGTGTCGGAATGGGGTTCTGTGCACATTTTCAAGTTAGCACGTCTCTTAGCATCTTCCGTGCTGAAGCAAAAATGTGTGTCGGAATGGTGTTTTGTGCACATTTTCAAGTTAACACGTCTCTTCGCATCTTCCGTGCTTAAGCAAAAATGTGTGTCGGAATGGGGTTCTGTGCACATTTTCAAGTTAGCACGTCTCTTAGCATCTTCCGTGCTGAAGCAAAAATGTGTGTCGGACTGGTGTTCTGTGCACATTTTCAAGTTAGCACGTCTCTTAGCATCTTCCGTGCTGAAGCAAAACTGTGTGTCGGAATGGGGTTCTGTGCACCTTTTCAAGTTAGCACGTCTCTTAGCATCTTCCGTGCTGAAGCAAAAATGTGTGTCGGAATGGGGTTCTGTGCACATTTTCAAGTTAGCACGTCTCTTAGCATCTTCCGTGCTGAAGCAAAAATGTGTGTCGGAATGGGGTTCTGTGCACATTTTCAAGTTAGCACGTCTCTTAGCATCTTCCGTGCTGAAGCACAAATGTGTGTCGTAATGGGCTTCTGTGCACATTTTCAAGTTAGCACGTCTCTTAGCATCTTCCGTGCTGAAGCAAAAATGTGTGTCGGAATGGGGTTCTGTGCACATTTTCAAGTTAGCACGTCTCTTGGCATCTTCCGTGCTTAAGCAAAAATGTGTGTCGGAATGGGGTTCTGTGCACATTTTCAAGTTAGCACGTCTCTAAGCATCTTCCGTGCTGAAGCAAAAATGGTTGTCGGAATGGGGTTCTGTGCACATTTTCAAGTTAGCACGTCTCTTAGCATCTTCCGTGCTGAAGCAAGAATGTGTGTCGGAATGGGGTTCTGTGCACATTTTCAATTTAGCACGTCTCTTAGCATCTTCCGTGCTGAAGCAAAAATGTGTGTCGGAATGGGGTTCTGTGCACATGTTCAAGTTAGCACGTCTCTTAGCATCTTCCGTGCTGAAGCAAAAATGTGTGTCGGAATGGGGTTCTGTGCACATTTTCAAGTTAGCACGTCTCTTAGCATCTTCCGTGCTTAAGCAAAATGTGTGTCGGAATGGGGTTCTGTGCACATTTTCAAGTTAGCACGTCTCTTAGCATCGTCCGTGCTTAAGCAAAAATGTGTGTCGGAATGGGGTTCTGTGCACATTTTCAAGTTAGCACGTCTCTTAGCATCTTCCGTGCTGAAGCAAAAATGTGTGTCGGAATGGGGTTCGTGCACATTTTCAAGTTAGCACGTCTCTTAGCATCTTCCGTGCTGAAGCAAAAATGTGTGTCGGAATGGGGTTCTGTGCACATTTTCAAGTTAGCACGTCTCTTAGCATCTTCCGTGCTGAAGCAAAAATGTGTGTCGGAATGGGGTTCTGTGCACATTTTCAGTTAGCACGTCTCTTAGCATCTTCCGTGCTGAAGCAAAAATGTGTGTCGGAATGGGGTTCTGTGCACATTTTCAAGTTACAACGTCTCTTAGCATCTTCCGTGCTGAAGCAAAAATGTGTGTCGGAATGGGGTTCTGTGCACATTTTCAAGTTAGCACGTCTCTTAGCATCTTCCGTGCTGAAGCAAAAATGTGTGTCGGAATGGGGTTCTGTGCACATTTTCAAGTTAGCACGTCTCTTAGCATCTTGAGTGCTGAAGCAAAAATGTGTGTCGGAATGGGGTTCTGTTCACATTTTCAAGTTAGCACGTCTCTTAGCATCTTCCGTGCTGAAGCAAAAATGTGTGTCGGAATGGGGTTCTGTGCACATTTTCAAGTTAGCACGTCTCTTAGCATCTTCCGTGCTTAAGCAAAAATGTGTGTCGGAATGGGGTTCTGTGCACATTTTCAAGTTAGCACGTCTCTTAGCATCTTCCGTGCTGAAGCAAAAATGTGTGTCGGAATGGGTTCTGTGCACATTTTCAAGTTAGCACGTCTCTTAGCATCTTCCGTGCTGAAGCAAAAATGTGTGTCGGAATGGGGTTCTGTGCACATTTTCAAGTTAGCACGTCTCTTAGCATCTTCCGTGCTGAAGCAAAAATGTGTGTCGGAATGGGGTTCTGTGCACATTTTTCAAGTTAGCACGTCTCTTAGCATCTTCCGTGCTGAAGCAAAAATGTGTGTCGGAATGGGGTTCTGTGCACATTTTCAAGTTAGCACGTCTCTTAGCATCTTCCGTGCTGAAGCAAAAATGTGTGTCGGAATGGGGTTCTGTGCACATTTTCAAGTTAGCACGTCTCTTAGCATCTTCCGTGCTGAAGCAAAAATGTGTGTCGGAATGGGGTTTTGTGCACATTTTCAAGTTACACGTCTCTTAGCATCTTCCGTGCTGAAGCAAAAATGTGTGTCGGAATGGGGTTCTGTGCACATTTTCAAGTTAGCACGTCTCTTAGCATCTTCCGTGCTTAAGCAAAAATGTGTGTCGGAATGGGGTTCTGTGCACATTTTCAAGTTAGCACGTCTCTTAGCATCTTCCGTGCTTAAGCAAAAATGTGTGTCGGAATGGGGTTCTGTGCACATTTTCAAGTTAGCACGTCTCTTAGCATCTTCCGTGCTTAAGCAAAAAATGTGTGTCGGAATGGGGTTCTGTGCACATTTTCAAGTTAGCACGTCTCTTAGCATCTTCCGTGCTGAAGCAAAAATGTGTGTCGGAATGGGGTTCTGTGCACATTTTCAAGTTAGCACGTCTCTTAGCATCTTCCGTGCTGAAGCAAAAATGTGTGTCGGAATGGGGTTCTGTGCACATTTTCAAGTTAGCACGTCTCTTAGCATCTTCCGTGCTGAAGCAAAAATGTGTGTCGGAATGGGGTTCTGTGCACATTTTCAAGTTAGCACGTCTCTTAGCATCTTCATCTTCCGTGCTGAAGCAAAAATGTGTGTCGGAATGGGGTTCTGTGCACATTTTCAAGTTAGCACGTCTCTTAGCATCTTCCGTGCTGAAGCAAAAATGTGTGTCGGAATGGGGTTCTGTGCACATTTTCAAGTTAGCACGTCTCTTAGCATCTTCCGTGCTGAAGCAAAAATGTGTGTCGGAATGGGGTTTTGTGCACATTTTCTTACAGGGCTTTGCCAATAACCCAAAGCTAACCGGGTTTCATTACATTTTAGCAGGTTATTTATCATTCCAAGATATTGATTGTGGTCAGAGGTATGCACAGTCCTGAAAAGGAAGGGCATCGCACAGTGCATCTGCAATTCTGCCCCTCGCCCTTTTTCAACTTGGCACTCCTGCCACTCTTCTGTGCAGGCTGGAGACTCCAGCCAGCGGAGACGTGTTGACAGCGACCGGCGCACTTTTGGAACACATCTACAAATCGATCTATATGTGAAGTAGACCAAACTCACATGTCGAAGCATCACACTCGCTGTCTCCGCCGATCGTTGCCGGCCTCGTCCTCGGCGGGACGACGAGGCCTAGCAGGCGGGTCGCCCTGCAGGTCTTCAACCTGTTGTGCAGGGTATTTCTCTGTGAGCTCTCTCTGGCGAGCCTCAGGAAGAGAGTGAAACCAAGAATAGCTCCAATTCACAGCCGCTATGCAAGCACTTTGCCATGTCCGGTTGATGCCACGTGATCCCTGAGCCCCTTCGGGTGGAAGGAAAGACCAGCTGCGGGAAGCCTTGTTCATGAATTTTTCACCTGTCTGTATCCGCACTTGAAGAAATGGCGAACTGTTGTCATGCCGGCTCACACTTCCTCGAACCCCAGGTGCGAAGGAGCTCTGCGGGATGTCGAACTCGTGCGGGCCCAGTCGTCTGCGGGGCTGGTCTCCGGCGATTCGCTCCTGTTTTATTGGCATGGACAACAACTCACTCAATAAGTTACCTGTCCTCAGAACCTGGAAACAGTAATTAATTGAAGCAAGGGACAGCTCTCTCGGCAGGAACTGCGTATCCATCCCCTGGTGCAACAGCTGGCTCTGCTGCTGCCTCTTCTTCTCTGGGAGCCGGTGCAGCCTCTGGAACATCGGCAGCTTTCGCTTCATCCGGCTGCTCCACATTGAAATTCAAATGATCTAGCATGTCGGCTTCCTCGGCGAGCTCTTCCTCATCCGTCTGGAAGTCGTCAGCTGCCTCTCGCAATGTGTAGGGGCGAGCAGGTGGCCAGACCAAGATATGATTGTTACAAACCGTTGTTTATTCCCTTAGCTACCGCTGGCTGATAAAACAATCCTAGTGTCAACAAGTTGCAAACAAAGCAAGCTTCTCTCTAAGGTTTTGAAAGGGTTCCCAATGTTGGCACTGCTAGTCAAAATATGAACAAGCAATGAGCATGGCTGGGAATTATCATTTTGCTGCTTCCACTCCTTAGAGAGAGGTTGCACGGTGCTACAGGCCTGGCTTTGTTGCCCTAGAAGCAGACATATACATGTAGAAGCAGACATATAAATGTCGGGGTTATTGGAGGTTGGATGCGAAGCGACTATCTAGGAAGTCCCCAGGTTTTCTACCTTCCACTTGCGAATGGACCTGAATACGATGATTTCTGCAAGTTTTCTAGGTTACAGGAGAACTACAGCTAGAAAACAACACAAATAGCAAAATCTGGGTTTCAGTCTTTATTTTGAGCACCAAACCTCCTGCTCGTCGCTTGCTTGTGGTTTCCGTGTCTTCGGCAAAGGAAGACTGTCCAAGACCTCAGTGATGTACTCCTGCTCGTAGCCCTCTTTCTGAAGAAGGGCACGAACTCGATCCTGATGTGTGCTTTTGCCCAGCTGAAGCCCGAGCAGTTTGCAGTAGCTCTGAACGAATGTGGAGGTGACATTGTAAATCCTGTGCGTCAGGAGGAACCGAGTGGGATGCAGGAAGCACTGAGGCCTGAATAACAGGCCGTGCTCCACATGGGCCACCCCTGTGGCCATCGAAAGGAGCCCAGACTTGCCATCGAACCGCAAGGTATCCTCCACGGCGGCAGTTGTCGGAATCTTGTAGAGCTCCACATCATTATCCACAGTCGTGGCCTCCACAGTCACGTACCGTGTCAGCCATGGGCCCGCTTGCAAAACGAGACGGACTTCGGACTCGTCATCAGCCGTAACCTTCCAGAGGCACATGGCGCACAGCATCTTGCAGGGCCAGGAGTTGGCCAGCAAGAGCTCCAAGTTCACGGCACGGCTTCTTGAGAACTCATCGGACAGGCAGCAGTACAGTTGGAGCCGCTGTGTCAACACGTGCGGCTTCGTGATGTGCTCGCAAACCCTCGCATTCGTGAGCTGCTGCATGGGGATGCCGAGCTCTTTGTCCGTGGCTCTCGCAGCGCCTTGCAAAATATTCGCCTTCAGATGGCGAGCGGAGCTTCTGTCAGACCAGTCTTTTCCCTCCAGCTGGATGTGAGCAAGTGGTGATCGTGACCAGCCACTTTTCACCGCAGCACAGCAGATTGCCGGCGGGGATCGGTAGTCTTGCTTCTGGCCTCTCCGTTCACCATCCCGCAGATCGTTGAAAATGAGCTCGCAGGGGAGAGAGGTCAATAGCGAAGCCTCTGCATCCGTGTGCTTCAGCCCTGCAGCCGCCAGGAAGATCTTTCGGACCTCGTTAGCATCCTCGTGGTTGCTGTCGAAGTTAATGGACCTGATCTCATGCAAAGCCCTCAATCCTTACACTACTAGGGATAGAAAACTGGAAGCAAGAGGGCCCTTCGGCCCTGCGTAATCGACGATTCCAAAAATTATCTATCTTCCGATCGCAAGTAGCATAGTCTCATAGAGATTGCGAGTAGCAGAAACGAAACTTTGGATGAGCCATCTTACAACCGCGAAGCTTCTTGCACACAGACGTGTTGCATGCCAACCATACAAAGAACTACAGACCGATGCACACGAACACATTTTTGGCTTTCGGACAACAAGAGGCAACCCAACACTGTTGTTGCCGGCAATGCGAAAACAAAGTCAGTCAAGCCGAGAGGCTCGGCCTCCACGAGCAGCTCACGAACACATTGCCAGCGAGTAAATGACATGTACTTGTACAGCTGGCCCTTCTCGCTGAGCTTGTCCAATTCGTGCACGAACTCAACCTCGCGGCGAAGGCTGTCCAGCAGTGCAGCGAACCGGCGGTCGTTCGTGGCAAGGATCGCTCGCCAGGGCAAACATCGGTGGTGGTCAGCAAGCTCCACCAGGCGACCCAACCAGGCACAAAGCATGGCAGTGTGGACTTCCATGGTGTCGGCGGACTCGTCGTTGCACTCGCTCACACCGATGTACTGCAAGGCTTCGAAGGTCGTGCTTGAGGCGATTGTCTCCCTGACAGGATGCTAGTTTCAAACCCTTTCTTTCCGAAGCTACTTTGCACAAGTCTCGCGACACAGCCTTTCTTAGATGCTGCACCTCACAAGATGCTGCACTCGTGCTCCTGTCGCCAGGGCGAAAGCCTGCCGCACGGGACCTTTGGCCTCGCTCTGCAGGTCTTTCTCCTCAGTGAGAAAACTACGGAATAAACAAGGGGTGCTCAGACACAAGAGAACTCACGAAGAGGGACCAACCAATGTCTGCTGTTGCTCGAGTCCACTGGCAGAGTCGAGATACAAGCTGTGTCATCCACTTCCGAGCGGGCTTGAAGATCGCGATCAAGGATCTGAGTTTATCCTGGTTCGTGGCATCCGAAAGCACCTGCTGGACAAACGGAAAGATCGTTGCCTATGTCCATCACTGTGTGATGCTTCGGCAGACTCTGAGCCTGGAAGGCAAGAGCACGGATGGAGTAGGAGTCCGCCTTGTCAGAATCGTCCTGTTGCGGATTCAAGTACGGGTTCTCCCCCGTTTCCCAGTACTGCCAGAGGAGTTCTGCCAGTTGCATGTGCCAGCTGCCTCAGATGCAATCCGGCGGCAAAAAGACCGCGTATAAAACACAAGTGTCTTGGAGGGTCAGACTACTGCTTGCCTGCTGCCGGAAAACGATCCTGACGACAGGCGGCGTCGAACCACGAGAACCAACGGCCCTCTTTGACCTCGTCCGAACCGGACCAGTGCAGGGTGCCTGGCAGCAGAATAGCCAGAAGAATCTTTGCTTCAGGTACAAAAACCTAACAGAACAGGACATATGAGGCTACAAGCGAAGCCTGAGTGAAGCTTCATATGTCGCAGAGCTTTGGCGGCGGACAGTTCCGAGTCCTGCAAGCCTTGGTCCCTGGCCATGCCACTTAAGCAGCACTGCAAGAAGTTCGAGTCGGGGCACTCGTCCAGGGCGGACAGCATTCTGGTTCTGCTCTCCTTCCTGCCCCGGCCAAATCGCGAGCTTCCATAGGGACCCCTTGTGGCCCTGAAGACTTTCGTGGCCAATTTGAGGAGTTGTGCTGCTGCAGGACATTCTTTGAGAGCTGCCGCCTGCTTCCGGTGAAGCTTGTGGGGCAAGTCTGGCCACCAAACGACCTGCACGTTGCAGTGTGCCAGGTGGAGGAAGCAGCCCAGGTTCTCCGATCCTTCGTCTCCGCTGAAGACCAGGCGAAAGACGTCCTTCTGTGAGGAGCTGGGAAAGTCAGGCAGGCTCACATCGTCGGCGTTGCGGTGGAGGAAGTAAAAGTCGCGGTTGGCTTTCAAGCCGTGGATCTCCTTCTCCTTGTCGGTCATGAGGTAGCGGTCGCAGGCGCTGCTGTTGGGATGCAGTACGTTTTCGGGAAGGCAAGCTGCAAATGAAAAGTTCGGATAAAGGAGTGCCAAGCTGTTTTTCGTGGCATGCAGCAAGTTCTTTGTGGAGACACGATAGCTTCGCAGCTCTTTGAAGGTCGGTTGTAGTTTCACACCTCCACTTTGAAGTCCACCTCCTTGCAGGGCCACGTTGAGGGCCTGCAAGGTTGTGCCGCTGGGAGCACTGTTGGCCGTGTCTGGCAGCACCTGTATGAGGCTGGCTTCGGTGTCGCCCAATTGGCACTGGAGGGCCAGGACCTGCAGGGAACAGGGACGGAGCATTCCTGGGGCGGACGGTTGCTCTGGCAGACACCCTACACCCGGCCTGGAAAGTGCAAGCACGAGCCGAGTCCATGCACCAGTTCGCCAACCGTGTGCCTTCGGCTGCAGAGGCCTGTGCCTTTGTGCTGGCCTTTGCCAGCCAGCGGAGGAGAAACTCGTCTGCAGTTGCCTTCGCGAAGCGAGAATTGGAGCTTATCAGCCCCAATTGCTGCAGATTGAGCTCTTCTTTCGTGGTGACAAATCCAGAGGATTTTTTCGAAAAGCGGTTGAGCAAGTTCTCACGAAGAACTGTTGAGCCTTTCATTCGGGAGGATTTGGAGAGCGGATGAAAGCTGGCACATCGGCTGGGCTCGGGGCAAACATCAAGAAGTGGACTGCCTTGCCCTTCGAAGGATCTCTGCACCGACTGAGTCCAAGTGTGCACAACCCGCTTTGTGATTCTCTGAGCTTGCACAGATTCCTTGATGCTGGGCTTCTGCCGACTTCGGAGCAGGACAAACAAAGCCTTGCCGAGGGTGATATAAAGACGATCATTGGGGAAACTCCTGCGCATGTCGGAAATGGGCAAAGTTATCAGAGGAACCTATTTTTTCTCAGACAACATCTTCTACAAAGAAGAGGCAAGACATAAGGCAAGGTCCTCGTCACTTCGGATGCGAGGATTTCCAGGCCGAGGGCACCGCAACAGCGACTCCAATCCTCGATGAGGATCGTGTTGTTCTGCAGCGGCAACTCCGCCGCTGCAACTCCTGGCAGCAGAGCAAGCTTCCCGGATTTCCGAGAGAACTTGTCGAAAAGGGCCAGCAGGTCCCAGGTCTGTGTGAGAGCCTCGGCACTCGCAGAACGGTTTTGCAGGAAGGAAGCTACCACGGAGACACAGCCCGGCAAGCTGGCGGTGTCGATGGGGAGCTTTATCTTGGTCTTGTTCACTTTTTCGCCCTTGTAGATGCTCCGGCGAATGACCTGAGCAAGGCTGATAGTCGGCAAGGATGGCAGTTATGAGGCTTGAAAGCATTACATGTCACGTGCTGGGAAGTGCTCACCAAGGGACGTGACACTCGCTGAAGCCCCAGTCAAGAAGCAAAGGCACGGCACAGCTGTGGTAGGACTTGCTGTACCAGGTAGCAAAGGGGGTCTTGAACCGCCAGAGTTCAGGAAGTCCGAAAAGCAAGTCATAGCCGTCCAGTTCCGGATGCTGCTCAACCTGCACATCTCCACAGGAAATCATATCGAGTATTATTTGCTTGCTCTACTCAACAACAGAGAGTAGCAGACCAGAACAGCAAGACACCGTGACAGCCTTCAAAGCCGAAATCACGTCGTCATTCGACGATTGCAGGAAAAACCAATCGAAGGGTGTCATGTCATTCGCAGTTGACTCTGCAGTCTCCTCCGCCGCCGCCGGCTTGGCCGATGGAGCAGCTCGGGGGTCTTTGAGAGGCAAGGGGGGCAAGGGCACAGCGACTTCGAAGCCCTTCAGGGCTTCCTGACAGCAGCGATGGAGGTCTTCAAAGCTTACATCGTCATGAAATCGCCAGCGGTGCAACAACTCGCCGGCTTGTGCATGGGCTTCGGCACAGATGCGAGTCGTCTCCGCCTCTGTGGATGCAGACAAAATGTCGGCATCTGCCCGTCCCAAAACTTCCCTGAGGACCTTCACTCTCTTCTCATGAGCATCTCGTTTCACAGCATGCTCGTCCATGTGAGGAGCACAGGAGGGCCCCTCCAAAAATCGAATCTTCTTGAATGAGAATCCGACACACAGATGCAGATGCACATGCACGAGTGTGTTGCCCCTGCGGGGGCAGTGCTTCCAAGCAGCAATGAAACAGCAAAAGCGAAAGCACACCTTTTGCCCGCTGATAGGTCGAGCTGAAAGGCCTGTAAGGCAGGCACGGATTTGGGTGGCCGCAATCTCAATCCAGAGTCTCCAAAGAGAGCAGAGGCAGCCGTTCCAAGCGAACCGCTAAACGAGTGGTGACATCTTCATGGTCAGTGATGCAGAGCAAGTCGCCGGATTTCCGTTCGACAATAATCTTAACACTCTCTCGCAAGTAGAACCTGTCGCTGAGATCCGCTCTTCTGAGGAACTCAGCTATTGCAGCAAAATCCGGGTCATCACCCGGCCACTCTTCCTTAGCAGCCTCAGCATACTTAAGCCAATCGTCGTCTCGAAAAAGCGGCACCCTTTCAATGTAGATCCGCACGACAGCATTCCGATTAATCACAGCAGGGATCTTGTTGCTGGAACGAGTCGGCATGGGCCCGAGCAAAGGAGCTGCTGAGTGCTGGTGGCTGCAAGCCGTCAGAATGTTACAGAGCATGTCCAAAGGAGGCCTGCAAGAGCACACATCTGCCAAATGCGACAGGACTCTGACACGGGCACTCCCAACTGCACAGCCTACGTTCTACAGGCGACAGCAATGAAACGCGTTTTCATCCAAATCCTGGGGCGATTTTTTCGGCAACTGTTCTCAATGTTTTGTAAAAAAATTTTTTAAAAAAATAATGGGATGATGATCTATCCAAAAAATGAAACGCGTTGTTGCCATGGAGTGCGTTGCCGGATGAAGTGTTAGCATTCGTCGGGTTTTGTCGCAGCGCTATATGTTGAAAATGAAACGCGTTTCCATTGCCGACTGACATGGTCTACGGTTACGCCATCCCGCCGGGAGATGCAAAAGCAAAGTGCCAGAAACCAGGACTCGGAACAGCACCGAAGAAGTTCACAGAATGAAACGCCTTCAGGGAGGAATCAATGAAACGTGTTGTCGCCGCCAGGAGGCTTGGGCGCCGTGGTCCCCAATGGAGAAGGTTTCCGAGCCGAATTCCCACCAACGGTTTCTTTGGCATTGATTGGTTTCGGGTGAAGACTGCCCGCCCTCGAAGCGGCTTAACGTCTTTGTAACTGTCCATGATCTCAACCAAAGGACATGACTTAAGACAGCACTCTGACCCATGCCCTGTTGTGTTGAATCCACAAATGACACAAATGCAGGAGCACACACGAACAAAGAAAAGTCCAGGATGAGACCAGTGAACCTCAAGCCCCAGGCCACTTCGGATTCTCGATGCAAGGGCTGTCGATGTGTCAGTTGCAAGCATCGCAAAGTCTCGGCTGCGACGTGTTTTGCAACCGCTGCAGCTCGCACTCTGAGAAAGATGCCATCGCTGCCTTTGCCAGCAATGCCAGCAGTCGCATCGCTCAGTCCTCTGAACCATAGTCGTCCTCGAATGCCTGCAGAATCGACCACGAGAAACGGACAGGGCATGCCACTTGGGAGAAGACAGACTGAGACCCCTGATTGTCCCCGGCCTCTTTCTTGCAGGCAGACTCCACCTCCTTACTGTCGGAACCTGGCCAACAGCAGATGGCATGTCAAGGCGACAAGGCACAGCTCTGAGTTTTGCCAAACCAGACAAGAATCCAGCCTTGGAAGATGTTCTGATCGGCTTCCATTTTCTCTGATTTCACAGATTGAAGAGGTCCTGCATTGGAAGAGAGCGCCATGGATACGGTCTCGCACAAACTTGAAGCGTCGAAATAGCAGCAGTGCAGACTGACACGGCAGCCCCCACATCATTGACTGCAAATCTTGCCAAAGTCACAAAGCTGTCCTGAACCATCCTCGGCTGCAGGCTCCTCCTTGATCTCTGCCAAAGCCCGTACTCCTGAGCAAGGATTGCCCGCTGTGCAGAAGTGCAGAGGGTGGGATTGGCACCTGCTCTCTCGCCCACTGCATCGCCTGCTGCATCGAAGGCACCTGCTCATTGCATACGTAATACCTAAAAACCTCGGGAGACTCGGCTAAACGTGGCCGAACCAAGCCTTCCAGTTTCGTCGGAACGAGGCGGTTCTTGTACTGCTGGAGAATCTCATCCTCGCGACAGGACAGGTGACATTACATAGACACAAGGGTGCAGGGTTTAAGGTACAGGTTTAGGGTTGCGGGGCGAGGCCAGGAATGTCGACTGGAGTCTGCCGAAAATTGGGGTTTGCCTTTTGGGGCTTGCGGAGACTGGGAAATGGCCAAAAGCAACCCCCCCGATCTCGGCTCGAGATGGGGGGGGTTGGAAATGGGCCAAAAGCAACCCCCAGATCTCGGGCTCCAGATGGGGGGGTTGGAAATGGGCCAAAAGCAACCCCCCGATCTCGGCTCGAGATCGCGGGGTTGCTTTGGGGCTTGGGGTGCTGGAAAAAACGGCCGCAACCGCCCGGGTTCCTTGTGTGGGTGTGCTGCTCTGGCATTTTCGTGATGCGCTCTGTGTCTCTCTCTCTCTCTCTCTCTCTCTCTCTCTCTGTCTCTGACTCTCTTTCCCTCTTTCGCTCTCCCCTTTGGGCCCCAAGCGGAATCCAGCATCCAGAAGGAGCACTAACAAGAATCCTGGACAATAAACCCAACTTAAACCCTAAATCCTAAACCCTGAACCCTATATGACCTTGAACCCTGATGCCTGAACCTTATAAAAACCTGAACCCGTGTTTGGAGATTTCGTTCTCTGTCCTGTTGCACCACGGCAGAAGTAAAGGCCAGGAACGGGTCGCCGTTGTTTTGGGTTTTGGCTCTACGGGGACCAATTGGACCTCAGTATTTCCAATTATTAAACAGACTCTACTAGAGGCTGCAGGAGGCTCAAATGGAGTGTTTGAAGGCCTACACAACGAAAGCGAAACCATGAAGCCTAAACTAACTGCAGTCCTTGTTCTCTCGCAGATATGTGCAAAGCCGATCAAAAGCGCGACGACCAGCAAAGGACATGTTCCCTGCACATTCATTCGCCTCGGGCCCAACCTGACTCATGCAATAGGCAGGGTCTTCTGAGAAAGCCTCTTGCAGGAAGCATTCCAAGGATTCCTGGGCAGACATGGCAGCTGCAAATTTGCGATTGAAGTGTTGTCGTTCAGGGACCTAGGCAAGGAAGCTAGCACAGCAACTAAAGAATTGTTCCGAGCCACATCCAAACCGTCGGCTTGCAACATCTGCATGAAAAGCAACCGGTCCGAAGCTCGCAACAAGAACTTGCTCACATGGTGCTCGATGTCCTCAAACCACGGAACGGCAGCTGAAAGCGATGGCATAGTCAACCTCTGAGCCGGGGTCTCCTGGAGCGAGAAGAACAACAGTCCAAAAGTGGCAAACCGTTCGACATTCTTGCATTCTTGCAGGCAATAACTGAGAACATAGATTGAGGGAGGAAGAAGAAGGACGCTGGAGTGGGCATTATATGTAGTCTTTCTCGAAGACATGGCAATGGCGCACGACACCCTAAAGTAAAGCCCAAAACCTAAACCCTGGAACACAGCTGCACTCCTTTGAATTCGGCACACTGCTTTCCCTGTGAGTGGAAGCTTGTTCTGATTCCGCCTTCTCCACAGCAGGCGGGGCAATGGGCTGGGACTTCACCTCCCCAACCCGCTTCTTGAACCTGTCATCGAAGATATCGCCGTCCGATTCAGCCGGGGACTCCAGCTCTGCTGGCTCGTTTTTGGCCACACTTTCGGAAGGACAATCGCTCTTTGCACCGCGACCAGATGTTGCCCGCTTGCCACGTGCCCCAGGCTCGGGGGATTCCTTATCGGAAGCCTGGCAGGCCTCCTCATGGCCTCGCTTCTTTTTGCGTCTCTTAGGGTGGGGAGATGCTGCATTGATCTGTAGCATTTCCTCTTGGCATGCCTTCTGCCAATCATGGATCAAGGTTTCCAGTCTATTCTGCCTATCCATCTTTTTCTCAGCATCCAGACTGGCCCATTCAGAACGAAGCAACCTCATCTCATCAGTAGCCCAGAAGCTGCAAGTTGCAGAAACATTGCATTCAAGGACAAGAACGTGCAAATCGGCTTTGTTTCCGAGCTGCTGCTGCAAAGACACGAGATGGTGGTGCTGTCGGATCACCAGGAGCTCGTCCACACCGACGACTGACGGAGCCAAAGGAAAGGTCCCGAGGACAGAATCACAGGACACGGACACGAACGAAGGCACACAATGGACTCTACCTCAAAACTCCCTTAGCGAAGAAACCCAGCCTGTTTCCAGCATGTTGAGGAGACGAGTCTTCCACACTCGTTCGGCCGAACCCTCTTTCTTAACCATATCAAGCTTGGCATCTAAGTGCTTGTCAGACTTGACAGAAGCACTCTGTTGCTTCCATTGAAGAGTCTGGCTCTGCCGGACCTTGGCAAGAGGAATGGGCTACGACTGTGATTCAATGCTAGAGCAAGCTGAAGACCTTCTGAAAACATCCGGCGAACACAGAAGCACCCCCCCAAGCCCAGCCTGCACGATCTCTCCACCGATGCGTAGCAGCTGCAGGGGCGACAGCATGGGAATTAACCCAGACGAAACTGCCGCAAGCTGCGGGGCCGACAGGTCCCGCAGGTGAATGATGCTGCGCTTCATTTGCAGGAGCTTGGGTTTCCTGGGAAACCCCACAACATGCAGCAGGCAGCTACGACTGACTGGCACCCCCAATTCAAGGCAATGAAAGAGACTGCTCCGAAACAGATGTGCATCCTAAGCTCAATCCGAAAGCCAATGCCAGGCTCTCAAGCTGGGACTTATCCTCGTTCGTTGTCTCGTCTGCGGGACCCGGCTCGGATGCTTCGTCGTCGGATCTGGAGGAAGCAGCATCTGAAGAGGAAGTTTGCTTCCTCTCCTTCTTAACTCTCCCTTCTTTTTGATCTCGCACATCTTTCCGACTGGTTGCTTTCTTGGGTTCTTTCTCTTTCTCCTTATCCTTCGCAATCTCCACTTTCTTGGCCCGTCCACCCTTCTCACCCTTGTCGGTCTTTTTTTTGCCCGCCATGCCCCTGGCTTCGATGGTTCAGCAGCCAGGGCCCTTGAAATCTCTCAGAAGCTAAGCTGCAGGAATCGTTCAGGAGTGCACACAGACATGGCCAGAAGCAGAAGCAATGCAGCAAAGGACATGAGAGATCAGATAAGTCGTTCCGACAAACTGAGTGCATGCAGACTCTTTGTCTTTGCTCCTTTCGATGGCTCGCTGTGAAGACTCCCAAGGAACAGCAAGGAACAGAACCTCGAAGTCCAAGCAAGTCCTGGCGCCCCAAGACCCGGTTGCGAGAAGTATGAGCTACGACTGCCCGACTGCAGACCCTTTAAACCCTAAACTCAAACCGGTATGGCTCCCCAGAAAGGCTTCAGACTACGAAGCCGAGTCAACTAGTTAGAGGGGACCACAATTGACAATAATTGAGTCAATATTCCAAGAATAATAAGTAATAGCATCTGCATCAAGAAGTCTATCATCTGATGACACTCATTCATCATATTCTGATTCATGTACATCATAATATCATCAGCATCGCAAACAGCATCCTCATCTATGTCGCAATCGACACCTGGTTGGCCCTTCTGAATGGTCCCCAAATGTAGAGTCTCTATCGAGTCCCACAGACATCCTCAATCACGATAGGGTGGGGAGCTTAGGGTTTCGATGCTTCTGGACCTTAGTGTACATGGTTAAGGAAATCTTGGGGAGCTTGCCAACTTCGGTTGAGGCCAGCTTGGGGTTTCTATTTCAGGAGATAAAGGTTTAAGGTTTAGGGTTTCGTGTTCGGGGTTTAGTTTAGACTTGGGCTTTTCGGCTTTGTCCTCACTTCAGAAGGCTTCTAGAGATTATCCCATGAATCAAGTCAGCACAAGTCACCCGGCATCCGGCCCGCCACTGCTGTAGCCAAGAGCACCTGCAAGCGGACAGGATGTACATCGGGGCATGGGCAAGGCTTCCTGATCCAGATTATCAATGGGCTGGCTCAAACTCCAAGACAAGAAGTGTGCAATTAAGTAGAGCCGGGTAGTTTCGGAGTTATGATCTTAGCTGATCCACAGGAGGAGTGGGCAAGGGGGGCTGTGCACTTCAGGCGCAATAACTGCCAGGCCGAATACTTCCATCACCGATCCAAAGGCGGGATGAAGCCCAGGGAAAGATAAGCATCAAAGAACCATACAAAGGACAAGAGCCTTTTTGCACGAGGCGACCCGGCAGTCAAGAGCCGCATTAAAAAACGTTGGAAAGCCATGTGCCCTTTCTGCACTACCAGGAATCTGTGCAGCTGGCAACACCGCCAGCTAAAGCCCAGAGCTCATTCGGCGTATCGATGAGTGATGGCTGCATGCTCTGGAAGTACGGCTTTAGTTAAGTTATGTAGTATTAGTCTATGGAGGCTGGATGCCACAAACGACCTTTCAGCTGGCCAATCTCTCTTCGACGACGACAAAGAAGGTGGAATCAAGATTCCACCTTCTTCCTTTTCTTCGGCTGGACCTCCTCATCGGTCTGCTTCTGCTTCGACCCAGCTGCCTTGGCCTTCTTGCGACCCGCTCGCTCCAAGTCATCAACTGTAAGCCTCTCCACGGCTGCCTTGAGCTGGACTTTCACATTCCTGAAGAAAAGGCAGAAAGCAATGTCTAGAACTAGGCCATTTGGGTCTTCGGATTTGATTTATTTATTAGGTACCTATGGAACCCATCCAAAAGCCAGTCAGACTGCCCCTTGTACTGCGGCTTTAAACCCAAACAAGCCGAACCTGATTCAGATTAGGAACTGGAGAATCTCTTCCTGGATCTCCTCCTCGCCCTCATCTTCATCCAGCATGCCAGAGGCAACCACGAAATCGCGAGCGAGACTCTGAGCCAGCCCAGCCAGCGCCATTTCATGCTTTCGCTTCAACGGCGGCAGCGACATTCTAAAGCATGCAATGTAGCTGCGAACTTGCTTGATATGTCTGTCTGCATTGGAACAAAACTAACACGAGCCTTGACGGCTGCATTTGAGACGGAATAAACTCTCAAAGCTCAGTGTCTAGGGTGGGCCCACAATCCTTTAAGGTCAAAGGTCTATGGGGGTTGCACTGAAAAGCCGCCGACACCCCCAAAGTCTGCAAGCTCAACAAATCCAACAACCACTTCTATACCGAAACCCCTCCCAGGATTTTGTGCAATATTACACTTAATCTGCAACCGTCTACAACCCGACCAACTCTGGCATTCTTGAAATCCCCGGCATGATATCTACACCTAATATTTATACAGCAATGCTACTTAACAGCACAACCACAAATGTCGGAACCTCCTCATACCGATGAAATCTTATGCAGATAGTTTAAACGGAGGGCACCTAAGTGCAAACCTGTTCCCGAATCTCGGCACCTCTGCCACCACCAAGCTGCCGATGCCGCCACGAGACCAACTTCCTGGGCCAGGCAAAAAAACGGCAGTACAACTGTTCGCCAAAGACCCAGCCCTGGAGCCTCAAACTTTGGGGTTTTCAAACCAGAAGCCGTGGCTTCTGGCGCTCATAACCGGGGATTGCTTTCTTCTGCAAGATCTTGCCACAAGCTTGCTCTAAATGCGAAGCCTGCTGCCTGCCGCTGTGGCTCTACAGCTGAGCTTCTTCCATAGGAATCTACGACATTAAGAAGCCATAGGAAGCAAATTTCACCCCCACAACAGGCACTGACAAGACGGATCTAGATATACAATAAGTGAATGCATGCCTGAAGAGACATCAAGTAATGCAACCCAGAGCTTTAATACTATCAACCTTCAAGAGCAATTTCGGCCAAAACACCGATCATTCATGCAGCGCAGACATGTTCATGAGACCCGACAAACGATAAGCTAATCGTCTCTTGCAGTTGAAATGAATGATGATAGGCTACACCAAAGACTTTCTAAAGTCGGATGACCGCATCCACAAAGGAATTTCCCGCTGCCGGCTGCATCAAACTTTCGATCCTCTGATGTTGCAGCCGGGATTCTCATGCATCCACGTCGCTTCTCCAAGCCAGGAAACGTACCATCGTGACGGAGACAGAAGAACAAACTCAAATAACCCAATGGGAAAGATTGGAAAGTGTTGATCTAATAAGCACTGTGCCTGCTGTACTGATATTACAAGCTACATCTTCTTCCCAGCTTGAAGACGAAAAAAATTCTGCTCTGCAGAACAATGAAACCACATCTCCAAATGGAACCCGCAAACCACATGAAGTATGCGAAAAGCCCTCTAAGACATTTTCAAGTTAGCACGTCTCTTAGCATCTTCCGTGCTGAAGCAAAAATGTGTGTCGGAATGGGGTTCTGTGCACATTTTCAAGTTAGCACGTCTCTTAGCATCTTCCGTGCTGAAGCAAAAATGTGTGTCGGAATGGGTTTTGTGCACATTTTAAAGTTAGCACGTCTCTTAGCATCTTCCGTGCTGAAGCAAAAATGTGTGTCGGAATGGGTTCTGTGCACATTTTCAAGTTAGCACGTCTCTTAGCATCTTCCGTGCTGAAGCAAAAATGTGTGTCGGAATGGGGTTCTGTGCACATTTTCAAGTTAGCACGTCTCTTGGCATCTTCCGTGCTTAAGCAAAAATGTGTGTCGGAATGGGGTTCTGTGCACATTTTCAAGATAGCACGTCTCTTAGCATCTTCCGTGCTGGAGCAAAAATGTGTGTCGGAATGGGGTTCTGTGCACATTTTCAAGTTAGCACGTCTCTTAGCATCTTCCGTGCTGAAGCAAAAATGTGTGTCGGAATGGGGTTCTGTGCACCTTTTCAAGTTAGCACGTCTCTTAGCATCTTCCGTGCTGCAGCAAAAATGTGTGTCGGAATGGGGTTCTGTGCACATTTTCAAGTTAGCACGTCTCTTAGCATCTTCCGTGCTGAAGCAAAAATGTGTGTCGAATGGGGTTTTGTCACATTTTCAAGTTAGCACGTCTCTTAGCATCTTCCGTGCTTAAGCAAAAATGTGTGTCGGAATGGGGTTCTGTGCACATTTTCAAGTTAGCACGTCTCTTAGCATCTTCCGTGCTTAAGCAAAAAGGGTTGTCGGAATGGGGTTCTGTGCACATTTTCAAGTTAGCACGTCTCTTGGCATCATCCGTGCTTAAGCAAAAATGTGTGTCGGAATGGGGTTCTGTGCACATTTTCAAGTTAGCACGTCTCTTAGCATCTTCCGTGCTGAAGCAAAAATGTGTGTCGGAATGGGGTTCTGTGCACATTTTCAAGGTAGCACGTCTCTTAGCATCTTCCGTGCTGAAGCCAAAATGTGTGTCGGAATGGGTTCTGTGCACATTTTCAAGTTAGCACGTCTCTTAGCATCTTCCGTGCTGAAGCAAAAATGTGTGTCGGAATGGGGTTCTGTGCACATTTTCAAGTTAGCACGTCTCTTAGCATCTTCCGTGCTGAAGCAAAAATGTGTGTCGGAATGGGGTTTTGTGCAATTTTCAAGTTAGCACGTCTCTTAGCATCTTCCGT